CCCTTCCCTTCCGTAGACAAGGGATGGGTCATCATGACCTAAGTACAGATAGGACCTGTTGGTATCTTGGGGAACCCTCTAGTGATGGCTTCCTGGGGACATAAATTCTCCTTCTGCAACCCCACTACACCCTCTAATCTCACAATAATGAATCCTGTGCCCACTAAGGTGGGTGCTGCTGACCATCCTTCTGCTAGGCTCCAAAGCACAAGCTAAAACACCTGGGGTGTCCTGCTTGCAAAGACAGGCATAGAAAGAAATGCTAGAGAGCTGGGTCATGGAAAAGTTTCCAAGGCTTCTAAAGATCTCGCTGACAAAGTCACTGCAAATGAAGACAGACTGCAGACGTCACAGTGGCGCTGACTCTGACCCACCATCCTGTCCTCTACATACATTCCATTCAGCTGTGTATCCCCGAAGCTTTGAAACTGTGTGGCCTCTGGATTCCTTTCTACCCTTAAACTTATAAAATTCCCATAAGACTTATGCATGAGTGGGGTTTCCTCTACCCTCTCCTACTGTACTAGGAAATATACTAGTTTAAAAATTAGTTTATAATGGAGGTGTAGCTCAGTGGCAGTATTTACCTAACATGTATAAGGAAGGCCCTGTGTTTGACCCACAGTGGCAGACAAAAATACTAAGATATGCACTTACTGATTCGTTTTTAAAAAGTAACTGTGGTAGAATATTATTTTAAGTTGTGTGATTTTTTATGCTGCATTTGTTTAACTCTGTGCAGCTGTGTTACTTTGCCTGTCTAAAACGTTTGATGGTCTAATAAAGAGCTGAACAGCCAATAGCAAGGCAGGAGCAAGGATAGGTAGGGCTGACCGAAAGAGAATAAATAGAAGGAGAACCAAGGAGAGGAGGGCATGAGGGGTCAGCCACCCAGCCACCCAGCCACCCAGCCACCCAGCCACCCAGCCACCCAGCCACCCAGCCACCCAGCAATCCAGAGTAAGAGTAAGATTTACAGAAGTAAGAGAACAGGAAAAACCCAGAGACAAAAGGTAGATGGGATAATTTTTAAAAAGATGGCTAGCAATAAGCCAACCTAAGGCCGGGCATTTATAAGTAATAACAAGACTCTGTGTGTGATTTATTTGGGGTGGAGGACCCCCCAAAAGACTAAAGAGCCAAAAGAGAAATAAAACATCTTACAACATATAACCATGGAGCTGGAGGGATGGCTCCGTTCTTAGGAGAGATCACTGCTCTTGCAGAGGACTCAGGTTTGGTTCCCAGCACCCACGTGGTGGCTCACACCATCTGTAACTCCAGTTCCAGGAGATCCAATGTTTTCATCCTGGTTCCCACAGGCACCAAGCGCTCACATCCATACACGCATACAAACATTCGTACACATAGAAAATTTTAACCTTTAAATTGTTAGATAAGATATGAAACCCTTACATGCTGGCCTAAGGCGAAGCTTTGTAGCAATAACTATGCTTTCCAAACAAAGAAGGCAAAGGAAGAAGGGCTGCGACGCTTGTATTTTGACAAATCACCCTAGCAGAAGGTAGCTAGCCCTCTAAGCTGTTTACTCACTCAATCCACTGTGATACATTGTTTTTATTATTATTATTAAAGAAAACCTGGCCTGCTACAGATACATAGTGGGGAAGCGTTTCCCCAACCTTCATGAATAACTTTGGAAAATATTCCAAACTGCACCAAACGCTCCATAGAGCTTCTCTAAAGGTTGGTTGCACTGTAGAATCTGAAGCTATAGAAAGAAATTTCACATTTATGGTACACTAAAAACTCATCCCTCTAGAACAGGGGTATACCTCGGTGGTACAGGGTTTACCTGGAAAGCATAGGGTCCTGTGTTCAATTCTCAACAAGATAAAATGTTACATGGGCAAAAGATTCATAGTTCTAAATAGACAATAGATCTCATTCGTGTGTGTGTGTGTGTGTGTGTGGTGTGTGTGTACTCACATGTGCTCTGGCAATGTGCACACATGAATGCACACTTGCACACAGAACATGACTTTTGGAAGTCTGCTCTCACCTTGTACCTCCTTGGGGCAGAGTCTCTCTTGTTTATGCAGCTGTGCTGCGCACTCCTGGCCAACTGACTCACAACTGTGAGCGATTTCCAGTGGTTCTCCCATCTCCTCCTCCCCCCCAACTACAGGAGCGCTGGCATTACAAATACATGCCACCACATTGGGCCCCTGCCTGTGTAATATTTTGTATGGCAGCCATTTGGACTTACCCTGTTTCATCATGTGACATTTCAAAATCACACTCCTCTCATTGCTATTAAAACCGCATTCACTCACATCACCACTGCCCTAAGAAAGGTTTCAAATACAGAGAAGCACCTGCCTATCAGAGAAACAGCTTAGCAACATTCAGATTTCAACTTAAGAAACTCAAGTTGTATCACTGGCAAGAAATACTTGCAACTAATTTACTAGAAGCAGCAAGCTCACTTTGTTCATTTTCTAAAGAAAAAAGATTGTGTTGGAGCTACCCAAGTCAGTAACTACAGCTTGTTTGTAGCCATTTATTAAAAAAAAAAAAAAAAAGCAAATACATCATTCCACTTAGAAAACAAGTTACCCAACTGCTGACAGGTGTTTCTCCTTGGGGTGAGTTAATACTTTTACTAAAAATCATAACAAGGATACTCTTTACCTAAATTAGTACATATTCTCAGTCTCCCCCCCCCGCACAAAGACCTGGAAAATTCAGCACTGTTCCTGTTTTCAGTATCCCTGCCTTGCCTTATTATCAGCTACCATTTATCACACCAACAAGCTTTTGTACCATCCGTGTGAATGTCGACGCAGAAAAGAGACAAAGAGAGTTCTCATATTACTTTGAGAATAAGTTCGACCTTGAGGATTTATTGAAAAGATCTTTAGCTTGAAATAAAAGACACCCCTAGCCATCCCTGGAAGTCCACTGTAAATGCATGCATGATTTCAGGAAAATGTGTCCTACAGACTGGAGAGCACCCCCATTATTTTAACGTTTGCATGATAGCCTATTGTAGTAGTGGATGCAGTGGGGGAGGGGCATTGCTCGCTTGCTTACTGTTTTGTTTCAATCAATCCAAACTCTCAGGGCTCATTGGGATCTTCCGTGTTGCAAGGAAAACCCCTGTAGCGGTATAAATAGTCTGCTACTGTCAGCATAGCTCTGGGTAATTTGCCTTACAGAGACGCTGGACCCAAACGAGAATGGATGGGGCTGACAGCAGCCGCTTGCTTGCAGGAAGCATGAATTAAGTCTGCCCATGGCCTTCCCCATCAGACACAAATCCAGGCAGCTGCTGCAACTGTGAATGGCAAGACAGACAGGAAGGCTCCTCGAGGAGCCCATAGAATAAATTACATGCTGCTTCGTGATCTCTTCCCCAGCACGGGAGCCATCTCCGGGCTGCTGTGCCCACTCCTCTCCTTCACTAATTGAACTTAAGTATGGTAAATAGGCACTTTGAAATGTGCTTGTCTTCTTTGTCCATTTCTAGTCTGGTCATCATTTTACTGCAAATCCCACGTCAACACAGGAAAGAGGAGTGCCAACAAGCCTCCCAGCTCCAACATTCCACAGTGCAGTGGCTTGCAGAGCAGAGGGCATGAGGAAGAGTGACCGCCTGCCGGCAACACTGTAGAAGCAACCCTGGAGGATCCCAGCATCTCTGCCTTCCCACACTCACAAGCAGAACCCAACCTGCAGCTGGCCGTGGAATCGGGAAGGAGGGAGGCTGGAACCACCACCGAGTTCCCTTCCTAGCGATTCCGCTTTCCCATTGCTTTCTGTAACAGGAAAACGCTTTCAACACTCAGAAAACTTAGAAACCGGGAAGCCTTGGGGCTGTAGGTGGGGAAGTTGGAAGACTAGAATAGGGTTTATTCTGCCAGGCATTGTGTAAAATATGAAATGAATGCTTGCCTCAAGATCATGCACAGGAGAGAAAAGACCCCCCTGCTGCCTGTAGACCCCTTTTATGAAAAAGGAACAACTGGGCATCAGAGTATGTGGCGAACAATGCCACCAAACAATATGCATGATAGAGGTAACAGAGCACTGTCTCCCTTTATACTTGTGGGCAGAGCGACTCAGTCAACAAAGCAAGTAGCCCTTGCTGGAAAAGAAACTTAAAAAAAAAAAAACAACTTTTTTTTTTCAGTCCTGCTGGGACAGGGGAAAAATGTCTGTGTCTTAGTTTTCTACAAATTGATGATATAAATAAAACCCATACTTTTATGGAAATGCATGCACGGAGACGAAAGCCCACTACAAGTTTCTTTCTTTCTCTCTCTCTTCCTGGGTAAAACACACAAGAAAACGGAGCACCAGCCACACGCCTCTGCTTGCAAAGCAAGTGTCCATCCAGGCTGCAGCCTGAGCTTAGGAGAGGGAGAAGTTCTCCGGGACTCACTGGCTGTCCGGGTCCCTATCCCTCCTCCAAACACAAGCGTCTTCTTCCAGCTGCAAAGTTCTGGGGCCAGAAGCCCTGGGCTTTGGCTGACGCTGGTCCCGGAATACAGTCCTGCCTCCCTGCCTCTCTGCCTCGCTCTGGGCTTCCCAGTGACCCTACCCTACCTCGAGACAGGTGAAACCAGGTCGACCACCCACACCCCCAGGGAGAGCCTAAGCAAAGAACGTGTTCCCCCCACACACCTCCTACGCCCCGCGCGATGCCCAAAGTCACTTTTCCTTTCCTCTGCCTGGATCTCCAGGGCCCTTAGACAAGTTCCAGTACCCGGATCCCTGGACGTTCTAGGACGCAGGTTAAAGCACCCTAGTTCTCCTGTGCTGCAGGTGTCCCCGAGCCCATCTCCCACACGCGGGGTGTCCAGTGCCCACACCCAGCGCGCCCTGACTCGTCCCCACGAGGATGCACAAGTTAGTGACAAGACGGGGACACAGGCAACACAGGGTCAGAGCTGGGCAGTGGTCCCCCAGAGCGACAAGCGGGCGGGAAGAGAAAAAGGCATCCGACCGACCGGGGGAGTCCGGCTTGTGCCTACCTGGGGACCCCGCAGAGGAGGCCACAGGGAGCAGCGCCGCCAGGAGCAACAGCGCTGCCCAAGGCAGCGGGCGCGGGGACGCCCCGGCCACGGGGGCCATCGGGAGCCCGGGATGCGCGGGTTCCCGAGCGCGGGTGGCCGGCAGGGCGCGGGCCGGAGTGAGGGGCGAGCAGAGGCAACGCCGTCGGGTGCCCGTCGCCGGGCGTCCTGTGTCCTGTGCGGGCAGCGCCGCAGCCCTCGGCGATCGCTCCTGGCCACGCACGGCCGCCGCGCTCCGCCACTGAGGCCACCCGCGGCCCGCCGCGCCTTTTAGACACACTCGGGCGCCCCCTACCGGGCGCGCGCTCGCAACGGGGGCTCCCACAAGGCGGGCGGGGCGCCCGGTGAGTTCCGGAACCCCACTTGGCTTTCGTAAAATTAATAGAAAATAACAATAAAGCAGTCTGTAGACCAGAAACTTTAAAAAGTAACAAGAAAGTCCCTCTCTTGTCTAATTCTTCTACTTTCTGGCCCGGAAAGTGACCCATCGATTGCAACCAAGGCGGTGCCAAGGCCGGAGGTGAGCTTTATCCCCTAGACCCCTGGACCCCTCTGTGTGTTTTCAACTCCGGGGACCACCCTTTCCCGCACGCGGCAGTGGTCTGCGGGTTCGCAGTACCCTCGCGCAGCCAGAGCGCTTGGGAAAGGGTGGTGAACCGTACGAGACAGGGCTGCTCCTGGCTGTCATTTCGCTGGAGCGCGTGATTTCCAGTTGAAACGGAAGCAGGCTTTAAGCAAGCCGCGGCAGCCCAGCCAAGAACTCATTTGACCTCCCTTTCTGCAATTTAAACACTGCCTTGGGGTCCCGCTGTGCGGGATAACTGCCCGGGTTTTTGGTCCACTCCCGGCTGAGACACCAGCAGCGGAATAGGAGCGCCCCTAGAGGCGACAAAGATGAACGTCAGCGAGCGGAGCCCGGCTCTCCGCAAACCTAGCCGCTGAGGCTGCAAAGCGACAAAACTTGGAATGGGCTCGCCGCCGCCGCCCACACGGCAACCCCAAACTTGACAGGATTTGTTTCAGTCCGCAGGAGGGAAAGCACCTTAAACAAAGTGTGGGATGATGGCAGTAGGACACGGAAACCTATACTGAAACAAAATGGCAAAATCAAGACGTCCACAATCTGAGCCTAGGCTGGCACCTCTTGCCTAACTGCAGCCTGCAGTGAAGTCTCCAAGTTCTCCAAGGAGGGCGCTCCATCGAGCCCCTCTTTAGAGTTTGGGAGCATTCTACTGTCACCCCTTAGGACGCTAGGTCCTCCACATGCCACTTAGTGACACGCTGGCTTTTGTCACACCCTGTGTGTGATACTCTGTTTTAGTGGTCAGAGAAGCCTAATGTGGTAGCCAAAACGAGCTGTGGCCCTGGCTCCACGGGATGTAACTGGAGAGAAGGGGACCTCCCACAGAAAACCGTCAAATAGGAGAATAGGAGCGGAAGGGTCGCGGGAGTGCTGGACTCAGAACTCTAAGCAGGGGAGAGACTGGAAATAGACCCTCCTAACCCAGAGAAGACTGAACAACCAGCCTGACTCCATCTTAGGCTTAAAAGCCAACTTATAGTAAAGACAAATTAGGTTCATTCCTGTTTGTGATTAAGCTGCTTCTCAAGGGTTGGGCTATGACCTATAACCTTAACTACAAATGGTTCTGCACTGCATGTTCCAGGAATGGCCATCGTTTCAAGAAGTTGCTTATAGCCGCCACGAAGCCCTAACTTTGTTTCAAAAGGTTATATGACTACCTAGGACTACCTTATTTTGACCACCTATTACAGCCTGCTCTTGTAACCCCACCTATTCCCCCCACCATCTGGAAATTCCTACCCCTGAGCTGTAAAAACCCTGTCTTCCTCACATGCAAGGATGACCTCTCCAACCCCCTTAGGGGGAGGCAGCCCGTGTACAAGAATAAAAAAGCTTGCTTTAGTTCATTGCTTGTTTTAATTAATCTAGCCATGATGATTCGGGTCAGCGGTCTCCTCCCATCTTTGGGATTAACAAAGAGCAGGGCACACCACGACAGCGGTGGAGCAGGAGAGCTAGGGACATCCCAGGGGCATCTTGAGAGGGTGGCTAGGATGACTCCGTACTGAGCAGCCGTGGATAAGAGACTGTCAGTGCACATAGACTGTCCTCAGCCTGCCCTTTGGGACTTTTGTAATTCCAAGGCTTCACTCCTCGGTTTAGACTCAATAAAATTATCCAATGCGACAAATATGCAGTAACTCAGAAGACAGCATGTCCCTTCTTTTACACACACACACACACACACACACACACACACACACCCCTCCCACCCCAGAAGGTGTCTTGTTAGAGTAACTTTCTCATGTGGACAGCACAGGACAAATCAACTTCCAATGTTAGACTTCTGGCAGTCAGACCAGAAGTCAGCTGAGGGCTGTGGACACTCAGTGAAGTAACCGGCATTTACAAGTCCTGATTCAGACTCAGTACGAATTTTGACCCAGGTGTACACGCCCTTAACCCGCCCTTAACCCCAGCACCTGGAAGGCAGCCACAGGTGGATCAATTCGAGTTGGAGTCCAGCTTGTAAAAGAGATTCCTAAGGTATCATAACTTTCAGGTAGGGTGTGTGTGTGTGTGTGTGTGTGTGTGTGTGTGTGTGTGTGTGTTGGCCAGAGGTGGTTGACATCAGTGTCCTCATCAGTCACTCATTACACATTTTTCCAGACAGGTCCTCTCACAGAAGCCAAAGCTGACTCCTTTAGCTGGACTGTGAGCCAGTGACCCCCAGAGATCCTCCCGTCTGGACTCCCCGGTGCTGGGCTCTAATGACCACAGCTGGCATTCTCATGGATGCTGCAGATCCGAACTGGTCCTCATGCTTTCACAGAAGCATTTTACCAGCTGAGCCACCTCCCCGTCCCAGCTTTTAGGTTCAAGACACACAAGGGGAGACATTAAACTGTCTTGCATGGGGCCATATCAGAAATACAGGCATGCTGACATTTTCCTTGTTTGCCTTCCAGACAGGGTCTCATTTATTCCAGGCTGGCCTGGAACTCGACACATGGTGAGGATGACCTTGAACTTCTGCTGTCCCTGCCACTATCTGCTAAGTGCTGGGATTGCAGGTGTGTGTCACCACCACACCAGGCGCATGTGGGGCAAGGGTTAGATAACAGGGATTCTGTGTGCTAGAATACTCGACCGCCTACCTGCATCTTCATCTTTGTAATCATTATTTCTTTAGCTAACATTCACAGTAATGTTTTTCAACATGGCATTTTCCTATGCGTGTGCCATATATGCACATATATACATATATATTGTTCATATCACACACACACACACCTTGTTCTAATTTGACTCTCTCCATCATTGTTCTGCCCCTCTGGCTAGTTCCCTTCCCTCTCCCAGTGCCCCCTTCTGCTTTAATTCTGAGTGAACTCAGCCACCAAAGCTGCCCTAACACATTTTATTATCTTTTCACGCGCTTTCGTAATCTCCTAACACATTTTATTATCTTTTCACACGCTTTCTTAATCTCCTAACACATTTTATTATCTTTTCACGCGCTTTCGTAATCTCCTGATTGGTGCTTTGAGTTCACTCATCATAGTAAATCAAAACCTGGGCTTTGTGGCACAGGACTAAAATTTCAGCACTTGGGAATCGGAAGCAAGAAGATCAAGAGTTCCAGGTCAGCCATGGCTCCATGAGATCCTGTCTCCTAAAATAAACTAAGGATTGCCTCCAAAAGTGAAGGGAGGGAGGAAGGAAGGCAGAAAGACAGACAGATAGACAGAAAGGAAGAAAGAAAGAAAGAAAGAAAGAAGGACAGAAGGAGGAAAGAAAGACAGATAGACAGAAAGGAAGAAAGAAAGAAAGGAAGGAAGGAGGAAAGAAAGACAGACAGAAAGAAAGAAGGAAGGGAGGGAGGGAAGAAGGAGGAAAGAAAGACAGATAGACAGAAAGAAAGAAAGAAAGAAAGAAAGAAAGAAAGGAGGGAGGGAGGGAGGGAGGGAGGGAGGGAAGGAGGGAGAAAGGAAGGAAGGAAGGAAGGGAGGGAGGGAGGGAGGGAGGGAGGGAGGGAGGGGGGAGGGAGGGAGGGAGGGAGGCAGGGAGGGAGGGAGGGAGGAAGGAAGGAAGGAAGGAAGGAAGGAAGGAAGGAAGGAAGGAAGGAAGGAGGTTTCTCTGTGGTTGGATAGTCTGACCCTCTGCCAGCCTGTCTCCAACTCCGTTCTATGGTTTATTTTCAGCTTCACGCATCAGGCTGTGTCCACATACACTGTCTCTGGTTCTAGTTATGTTCTAAATAACCATACATCAAAAGAGTTCAGCACTCTCCCTACACATTGTCATGGCATTCCTATGTGACAGGGCAGGGATTAAAGTGCTGTTCTCAAGCTCCAGATGGGTAAATGGGAACCAAGTCCACATGGCCATCCAGAGCGGCTGGAGCAGGGGTTTGAAAGTGTCATCTTGTCCCTTTCCTAGGACATCCAGTCCTGTGCAGTCTTGGGTCTGCTCTATAGACCCTCTGGAAACACCGCCTTTGCAGATGGACCTCGTCATGGCAACGCAGATACTGTGGAACCCATTGCACAATGGCAGTGTGCATACAGTCTTTAAAGGTTATGCAGAAGAGGAGAGCGTACTTACATGCTTAGGGTGAGTGGAGTCAAAACAATTTCATCATGACATATCAGGAGGAAAGCAGGCTTCTCTAGGGTTTAGAAAACAAATGGAAAAGGCAGAAAAAAATAGAAGTTGGTAGTATACTCATTCATTCCTCTGGATTCTGTTGATATGGGGCGGGGGAACTTGCTTTTATCTGGCAGTAAAAGGATGCTTTGCAACCTTTTCCTTGAGCTGTGTTCATTTGTCCTTGAAAGAGTCTCATCGGTGTCACTAAGCTTTTATAGAGAGATCAATGATCCGGGGTATCTGGCATGTCCTGGGTCCTCAGACCAGTGGGCATGACAGCCCAGCCAAGCTTCAACTCCAAGCTCAGGTCTTTCTCCACCACAGATGACAACTTGGAATGTGATCAAGGCAGAGGGTGCAAATAAAAGTCTATTTAACTTGCCCCAAGTACCTCTATAGATTTGAGAGAATATTCTGGTAGCATCCAAATGGAGCCCGGCCCTCTCTAGGATGCAATTATGCAAGAGCTGGGTGTTAGGCCAGTCATCTTCTCAGAGTTTGGAAGGGACAGGGAGCAATGGTGTCTGGGGTCAGGGGAGTGTCCCGCTGCTCAGTCACTGCCCACATCGGG